GGGCCCCCCTCTCTCTCTGCAGTGGCAGGCGCAGTACCCAGAGCCTCTAGAAGGGGCTGCGGCGCGCGTTGTCGCCGCTGCGCGCGTTGTCGCCGCTGGGCCCCCCTCGCTCTCTGCAGTGGCAGGCGCAGTACCCAGAACCTCCAGAAGGGGCTGCGGCGCGCGTTGTCGCCGCTGGGCCCCCTGCGGTTCTGTGCGTTACTGCCACTGTGATTTGCAAAGCAATGGCTGTGACAGGCTGCGAATCGCATTGTAATGGCTGCGGCCAGGATGTGCGCACACTGTGTCTGTGCACTACTGCCATTGTGATTTCCATAGTATTGGTTCTTGCCGGTTCGGAGTCGCAGTGTAAGTGCTGCGAGAAGGATGTTTGCGAAGTGTGTCTGTGCACTGGTGCCATTGTGATTTGCAGGACCCACTCACTCCACTCACTCACTCACTCACTCACTCTGGAGTGGAGTGGAGTGGAGTGGAGTGAGTGAGTGAGTGGAGTGAGTGAGTGGAGTGAGAGTGGAGTGAGTGAGTGGAGTGAGTGTGTGGAGTGAGTGAGTGGAGTGAGTGAGTGAGTGAGTGAGTGAGTGAGTGAGTGAGTGCGCGACTCTCCACTCCACTCCACTCCACTCCACACTCACTCACTCACCTCACTCACTCCACTCACTCACTCACTCCACTCACTCCACTCGCTCACTCCCTCCCTCCCTCCCTCTCTCCCACTCACTCACTCACTCACCCCACTCACTCACTCCACTCATTCCACTCCACTCCACTCCACTCCACTCACTCACTCACTCACTCCACTCACTCCACTCACTCCACTCACTCCACTCACTCACTCATTCACTCACTCACTCAGTCACTCACTCACTTGCTCACTCGCTCACTCACTCACTCGCTCACTCACTCACTCGCTCACTCACTCACTCACTCACACTCACTCACTCACTCACTTCACTCACTCACTCACTCACTCACTTCACTCACTCACTCACTCACTCCACTCACTCACTCCACTCACTCACTCCACTCACTCACTCACTCACTCACTCCACTCACTCCACTCACTCCACTCACTCCACTCACTCCACTCACTCCACTCACTCACTCACTCACTCACTCACTCACTCCACTCACTCACTCCACTCACTCACTCCACTCACTCACTCCACTTTACATCCTGCTAGCACTGCCCGCCGTGGTCGGGATATGACCACTTGATAGCTTTGATGGTCGTTTCGAGTGTGTTACGTTTTGAAGGTCTCATGCGGATCTGATCGCAAAATCCAGAGCCTCCAAACTTCTCTCTCCGCCTCCTTCTCTCTCTCTCTCTCTCTCTCGTCCCTCTCATCCTTGTTCATCACATCATCAGACACTTTATCACACACCCACATCCACACACACACGCACGCCATCTTACCACACACACACACACACACACCTCCTCCCTCCCCTCCTTCTCATCCTCGTCCATCACATCATCACTTATACTACACGTCTTAGCACAACCGCCTCATATACCTTCTCTCCTCACACTTCGTTCTTGACTTTTCATCTCACTACTCCGTCTCCCATGTGATGTTCATATACAATTGAAATTTGTAAAACTTATCATGTGGGGTTATCCGGTCCTTTTATAGCTTAGTGGTCATGTTTTTTTGCCAGTGCCCTCGGCCCTACTGTAGTACTGTAGTCCCTTGAGGGGAAGGCATTCCTACGTGCTTCGCAAGGCTCTCGCTACCTGCTGCTTCAGACCTTACGATCGTTGCCTGCCTTCGTCATGACGTATCAGACCATGGAGTGCTTCTTGCTCCTTGGCAGAGTGGGCCAGGCCTTGACGGTTCTGAATCCGGCTGAGCAGGTTTGTGAAGTTTGCAGTGTGCTCTATGAAGTGTCCTTCCATGATCATGCCAACTCGGATGTGTGTGTGTGTGAGATGCAAAGAGTTCATCAGATATTGGTTTGAAGCTGTCTTTTTGTTGACTGTTTACTGGTATCTTAGCATGATTCTCGAAGCACCTTGCGGGCATTCACACAGCTTCAGGCTTTTCAACGTCTCCAACCCCACGGGGTCGCTTGGCGTCCATGGGCCTCAGGCAATTAGAACTGCACGACGGTGCGGTATCGAAAGCAAAGATGATCCTACATAGCCCAAGATGCATACATCTATAGCATTAACTATAGCATTCAAGCACAAAAGAGAGGCACAGAAGCTTGGAAAGCACAATAGTTTGTACAATATGTAATATGTGTACTTGAGAACATACCAATACACTCAAATTGGAAACCTCAGCTGAGAACTGCTGAGGAAGCGTTGAGATTGTTTTTCATGCTTTGTGACTGGTCGGTCGCCTTTCCAACCATTTGGAGACCAACAATCAGGTTCTGGGGTGGTTTGAGGAAGGCTGGCATACGTTGTGTTCTCATCATTGCATCGTCCCATATGTGACCCCTCATGATGCACAAAACGATGTGTTTTTGGGGTTACATGTGTCCAGTGTATGTTGATTTTAGCCATGCCGTAGACGGACCAAAGCATCAATTGTCACCCTGAGACACTACAAACTTGAGCTGAACAACACCTCACAGTTCGCTGTGGCACAGCGCGACTCTGCTGCACTGAGCAGCGACCGGCTCTGAGCCAAACTTGAGTTGCTGGTGTTCTTGTAGGTTATGAAAGAAGAATGAGCAGCAGCTCCAACTGAATAGCGATGATGTTCTTGTCGTAGGTTATGAAAGAATAATGATTCATTGTCTCAGCAATTCCTGTGATTCATTGTTGATCAAGGCTTACTACTGCTGGATCGATGGGAGGTGGTCATGAACAAGCGCAGGGGCCGAGTGGACATTTCTTCGCGGGGGTTTGGCTGGCATGTTTTTGCTCGTCAGGGTGTGTAGAACAGAAACTCCAAATATTCATCTCGGTTGGAAGGCATCGCTCTTAGGTTGGAGGCCATTGCTATGAAACTAGTAAGAAGCTACTAGGGGCTCCTGGGAGCAAGGACGCTACTAGGGGCTCCTGGCCGCACTACTGGGAACAAGGACGCAAGTTGCTTTATGGTTTTCCTTTGGACCCTCTCGCCCTTTCGGGATTCCGCTACCTCGGCACAGGAACGAGTCGCACTTCCGGAACGAGCTCCATGCAGGGCAGCCGCTGCGGAGCCAATCGGTGGCGGAGTGGACCTTGCCCGAGGCGAAAGACATGCAGTAACAGGTGCCACGCTACTAGGAACAAGTGCCACGCTACTAGTAACAAAAAGGCTATTAGAAACAAGTGCCCCTCTACTAGTAACAATAAGAATTCAAGTAAGATTAAATTACTAATAGCTTCTTAGTTACTACAAGTAAGGCACTTGTTACTACTAGCGATGCACTTGTTCCTACTAGCAAAGGAATCTACTAGCACCTTTTCGCGCGCGCGCGCCGGGGGGGGGTAGGAAGCTTCTTGAAGCTATTAATTTAGACTTAAGTTTATTTTGATTCTACTAGCTTTTTGTTACTAGTAGCGTGGCACCTGTTACTACTAGCGTGGCACTTGTAACTAGTAGCTTTTTGTTACTAGTAGCGTGGCACTTGTTTCTAATGGCTTCTTGTTACTACTAGTAAGGCACTTGTTGCTAGTAGCGATGCACTTGTTCCTAGTAGCGAACATTAAGAACACGTCAACAGTGTCTAACGGTTTTAAGAAACAGCGGATAAACGAGCAAGAGCTTCTTCAGCTTCAGAAGTTGTTCCCTCAGAATGTGTTTGTAGCACATTTTATGGAAGACGGAACTTTGTTGATCACGCATGTCTTGCCAGACACTATTCCAGTACGTCAGTACGTGTGACTTAAGTTTAAGGATGTTTAAGGCTTCTATGCTGTTGAAGAAGGCAAAAGCAAGAAGAGTTGTCTAAACTATGTTGTGTTTTATGTGGAAAACAACAAAGGACGTAAAGGGTTTTGTGGCTCTTGTAGCGGATCAATTGATCGCCGGGTGGTCTCAGGCAGATGAGTTTGAGTGCGACTACGTGAGCTCCAAGCGTCCATCGGTCACCGGGCGAATACAACTCCAAAGCGTATCGAGTCCTTGCCTAGGAGCAAGGACGCTACTAGGGGCTTCTGGTCTTACTAGGAACAAGAAGCTACTAGGAACAAAGGGCATCGCTCTAGAAGCAAGGACGCTACTAGGATTAAAGACTGTTTCTGCAAAGATTAAAGAAAGGAAATCGCAGCGAGGCCTCCAACCTAATATATTGCAAAGGCAAAGATAAAAGAAAGGAAACCTTGGCTAAGTCCGGGTACTTCGACGTACTTTCCCCTTTTCCCACGGAAAGGAAAGCTAGCTGAGTTCAGGAAGTTCCGGGTGCCAGTCGCCAAGATGCGCCAAGGTCACAGCTCAAGCCCTGACAGATCAGCTCTGGGAGCGGTTAATGGTCGGGGAGGCCTAGCTTTTGGCCATGAGCCACAGGGGCCAACACGGGCCACGGTGAGGATTCCCTCAAGCCTCCTGAGATGGTTTCTTTTGCCCGCTCTTACTTAGCTAAGTAGGCGGTAGCCCTCTTCATTGGATAAGGAGTAAGGGCTAGCTACGTAGCTATGCTACTAGTAGGTACCCTACTACCTACTGGACGCGGGATAGTTCACGCTATTCATGTGGTTCCTAGATGTTTTGGAAAACTGGTTGAAACAAAATGGAACTTGTTTTAAAGGTTTCTCTTTAGGTTTTAGGAAAACAAAATGGATGGATTCACTGAGGTCAACCTCCACAAGTCTCAATGCTCAGATGAGGCCACGCACGGGGGGTTGGAACGAAGCACAAGCTGCGTGAAGCACAAGCTCTGACTAACTCTACGACGAAATATTTCGTTGGCGATTGATTGTCTTCGAACAAACCCTTCAAACAAAACCATGTTTAATATTTTCTTTGCGCTGCGACAGTGCTTAAGACATCCATGGCCTCGCAGGAGAGGTTGAAAGTGATCCGGGCCATCAGTCATGAGATCTACATCACGGCCGCAAGCTTGCACATATGGGAGAAACCTTGCAGACGGTGCATCGGGTAGGTATCAAGATGTTTTTGGGGTAGATGCGACTGTAAATAACCCCTACTTTCCTTTGAAAGAAAACCAGGTGTGTTTGTGAAAGAAAACCAGGTGTGTTTGCTTGCTAGATGTTTGTGGGTTTGTCAAGTCCTTTTGTTTGGAGGTCCGATTCCTTCTCATGGCTTGAACGAATGCGCATGACACGAGCTTTGTTCCTCGGGGCTTTCACTTCATGCCTGCATCCTTCGCGCTGGAGGCCAAACACATGCGCCAGATGATGGGTTTTTTCAAAGAGAGTCAACATCGGCAGGACTGCGGCAGCACGTAGCGTAGCAACCTGTGCGTCGCGGCATTTCATGTTGAAAGTTATCCTTGTCTTTGTCTTTTCTTATATTTAATAACGTGTTTCTTACGTTTGTTGCTTTGTTTCTTTCCTTCGCCCAGGAGGCCTTCGTGATGTTCTACACGCGTCCGGCTGCCCAGCAGGATCATCAGGTTGACCAGGTTGCAAGAAAGACTTCTAAAAGAGCTTCGACAACTGAAAGGGTCTTACCCTTCCTTACCACTAACAAGAGCATTGGAATGCCAGGATTGCGGCTCCTCGTTTCTCATGTCAAGCCCAACTGGAGACGAAGATTCATGTCCAGCGAAATTGATCAGGAATTATTGACGTGCAAAACATGAAGCTGTGCTACGTGCGCTTGGGAAAGGCCCAAGGGACGAAGAACCGATGGGTGTACGTAGTATTCGCAGGCGTTTGTGTAGCATTGAGCTTGAGATGCTTCCATCGTACGCTGTTCGAAGAAGTAGTAGTCTTTGAATATCCTTCAGCTGCACAGGAAGAAGAGCTTATGAGTCTCCAGCACCGCTTGGGATGCTCGGATGGCAGTTCTTTTGTCATTTCACGAAGCACGGAAATCCATTCGCATGATTCAACAACATAGGGTTGTGCACACGTTGTGCAGAAACACCTTTGTGGCCAAGGACAAACCTTCTTCTTCCCTTTTTTCCAGCCAGAGAATGCCAAGTTTGAGTTGGAAGCTTGTCAAAAGATCTCAGGCTTTGAGATTGCAGAAGCAACAGCACTATATTTGAAAAGGGGGTGTAGTCTGGAATCCAGACCAGTGCAGCTGCGGCTGAAACGGAGGATTTGAGTTTCAACGACCATCGCATCGTGGCGAAGATGTTGGTCTCCTTGGCGGCTCGTGAAAAGCCGAGCAATTTGAGGCGGCAAAGACAGAATCACACGAGTTGTCTCTGTGTGATTCAGCTGGCACGAGTTTTGGCTTCGTGTTCTTTTTTGATCGCGGCGCGGTTCATGTTCTTTCCAGGGACCCTGTTTGGCAGAAGATCGACGGCACGTTGGACGAATTCGCCATGGGCATCCCCCGATCCTGGGAGACACAGACGCCAACCAGTGGCATTTTCAAGTGCCGCTACGCCCCTCGGAGTGAAAACAATTCGTGAGAGGAGCCCCGTTCGTAGCTTCCTTTGCTCCTAGTAGCGATGCCCTTTGCTCCTAGTAGCTTCTTGTTCCTAGTAAGGCCAGGAGCCCCTAATAGCGTCCTTTGTTCAAAGAAAGAACGCTCTGCCGGCTTAAGTCCTTTATAGATCCGCTTACAAGACCCTGTTTAGAAGGATTTGATCACGAGACTATGCCTAAGGTGTGTTCAGCAGATGATCGAAATGTTGCCTGGCGCAAGGGTCTTGCTCAGATGCTCGTTTGCATTCGCAGTGTTTTGATGTCCGGTGGCGTTGGCATCGCTAGGCTGAAATCTGGCAGACTGGTCATGTTGGGAAGAAATTGGCTAGTAGGAACAAGTGCATCGCTTCTAGTAACAAGTGCCTTACTAGTAGTA